GCGAGCGCCTGTAATCCCAGCTACATGGCGGGGGGGGCAAGAGGGCAAGAGAATCGCTAAAGGAGGAAGAAAGAAAAAAAATTTGAAAAAACAAAGGGGATGCTTTCTTTTTTTAAATCATAATTCTTGTCTTCTAACAAACTATGTAATTTCCTTACTTATTATGTGTATTGCTTATTACCTGTATAGCCCCCTAAACTATAACTTCTAGGAGGGCAGAAATCTTTGACTAAGCTTGTTTGCTCTTATATCCCAAATGTTTCAGGTAATGCCTAGCATGTAGTTAATATTCAATATTTGTTAAATGAATTCGTGCAAGATAATGAACCCAAAGCACTTCACCCTTGGCAAGGGCCTAGAATCAATCTCATTGTATGAACTGAAGTCTAGGGGAAAGTTAACCTTCCTATGAACAGAGGCTAAAAAAAATGGCCACTGTTGCATGGAGCTTTGGTTTATATAGAGCTGCCTTTCTGCTGTCTTGTCACGGCTGGAGAAAGTAGCGAAAGCTCTGTGTGCTGCCCATTTAACTGTAGGAGTCCTGAATGGCTGATATGAGCCTGGGTGCTGGGCGTGGAATCCCTGGTTGGAGATTTGGGTATATGGGGAGATGGAAGCAACCAAAAGTGGGGTTGGGTAAATTCCCACCCAACAGGTACATTGCACAGTTGTATTGCATACTTTGTGGGTGAAGGACGAAACCAGAACCCTGACTTTAACCTAACAAAAGCAAACTATGGGGGCCGGGTGCCATGGCTCACGCCTATAATCCTAGCACTCTGGGAGGCTGAGATAGGTGGATTGCCTGTGCTCAGGAGTTTGAGACCACCCCGAGCAAGAGCAAGACCCCGTCTCTAGTCAGGTGTCATGGTGGGCCCCTGTAGTCCCAACTACATGGGAAGTTGACGCAAGAAGATTGCTTGTGCCCAAGAGTTTGAGGTTGTTGTGAGCTATGATACCATGGCACTCTGCTGAGCGTGGCAAAGTGAGATTCTCTCTATCTCTCAAAACAAACAAAAAAACAACTATGTAACCTAATTGCATTTACTCCCATATTAATCTGAAATTAATAAAACTGAACTTAAGGCACTAAGTAGATGTTAACAGAGGGCTCGATTTTTCTATGTAAAAATTGGGAGTAGGACTTGAATAGGGGCCTGGGCAGAGAAGAGCCATGGAGACTTAAAGCTTTGGGAGATGAAAGGAACAGAGAGATGGATCCAGTGACCAGCAGCACAGGAAACATGCTAGGAAAATGAGTATTAAACAGAGTTTAAAGAGTTGACAGTGAGATATGTATTATAGACCCTCTTTGTTTTTTCTGTAAAATCAGATAAAATCTAGATTGCTTTGTTGTAAGTGAACTCTTCCTAGAGAATGGGAAGAGATAGTGTGCCCCGAGTCACAATTGGCACAGGGTGAGAATGGGCTATATATGGAATATTTCACATCTGAATTACATGTAATTAGGAAGAATAGTGATGGTTTGGGATAAGAGAACAATTTGGCAATGAGAAGATCACGGTGACCTTGAAAAGAATAGCCTGTGTGAAATGGTAAGCCCGAGAGCCAGGATAGAGTGAGTTGGTGTGGATGGAAGATGTGGAAAGAGAGACAGCCTATATAAACAACCCTTTGAAGGAGCTTATCTGTTATTTGGAGAGAATGTGGGATTGAGAGATTATCCCCCCAAGTGGTGTTACCAGAATTTGTACACTGATTAGAAGGAATTGTTAGATTGGGAGGGTTAATAATGTAAGAGGGGCTGGCTGAGGTGATGGAGTAAAGTACTGGAGAAAGGAAGAGAAGGTGAAACCCAGATCACATGTACATCAAGGGAAGGGAGGGGAGAGAAGAGGTACAGAAACAGGGGGTTCCTAGTTTCAGTGGTAGATACAGTGGTATTGTCTATGTGGAAACTGCTAATTTGGTAGTGATATCAAATACTTCTTTTCCCTTTGCTGCCCTACCTACCGGTGCACAAACCAATGTTAGCAAAGTCACCCAGGCATCCTTAAACTATGGCCCGCGGGCCACATGTGGCCGCTGAGGACATTTATCTGGCCCGCCAGGTGTTTTTGCCGCTGCTGCCTGTCCTGTTTAGCAGCTGAATCATCCCTGGGGCTCACAGTCCAGTCCTCTAACGGTCTGAGGGACAGTGAACTGACCCCTGGGATGTTTTCTTTGAAGAGCCACAGCCAGAACTTTATAGGTAATTCCTAATCTTGCTTGCAAGGGAGCCAAGATCCTCTACTCTAAGAGTTATAGAATTTATAGCAAGATAGTTAGATATGACCATTTCAGTATCCCAGAATTATCTGAGATATGTATAATAATAGTCCATACTACAAGATTCTAGCCTCCCTCATCTATAATCCTCTTATGTTCCAGCAATTGCTGATCCCTGGAATGCCCTGTTATTTTATGCCATACCATGCCTTCTTTGTGCAATACTGTGTTTTCTTCCTCTGTCCCAATATTTTAAGACATCAATGTCACCTGCTCTGTGAAGGCTCTATAAAGCAATAACTAACTAATTAACCTCATTTGGTTGCCTCCACCATGACAGGAAGCCATACCTTATTAGAGTTCAGAAATCTTTACTATCTGAGTATTCTGTGGCCTGGGCAGGCTCCATGTTTCATGAATTTCTTTATCACCAGATGATACTTCCTGTACAGTGGATTATTTATTTACTTATTTATTTGAGACAGAGTTTTATTTTGTTGCCCTCGGTAGAGTGTTGTGGCATCACAGCTCACAGAACCTCAAACTCTTGGGTTCAAGTAATTTTCTTGCCTTAGCCTCCCGAGTAGCTGGGACTACAGGCACCCACCACATGCCCAGCTATACTTAGGACCGGGTCTTGCTCTGTCTCAGGCTGGTCTTGAACTCATGAGCTTTCTTTTTTTTTTTTTTTTTTTTT